AGCAGACCCATACCCAGGCATCAGCACCAGAGAACGACTGGCCTGAGAACTAGACATTCCAGAATCCAGAATCCAGGTAGGTTTCAGCTTCACTTGCATTTTAACTGGGGGACAGTTCATGGACACAATCATGCCCAAGCCACTGCATGTCAATCTACATGCTCAGCTAGGGAGCTAAGAAGCTTTGTCCCCTGTATGTGCATCTCTGTTGAGCTCATGACCTTTGGAGTCATTCCAAGTCATTCACTCGTGGAACCCAGGTACTACTGGTGCACCAGCCCTGGGAAATTCCAACAGGTCAACATATCTTCGCTGACTTTCCCTAGAGATCATTTGTCCAGAGTTATCGCATGGTCCATGCAAAACACTCTGAGACATTAGGTATGATAAAAAACAAAACAAAACACATACACATAGATAGATAGATAGATAAATAGATAGATAGATAGATATAGATCATGTCCACCAGTGTTGCCTGACCATCCGTTCTTCTTTTACCATTTAGGTGTGGTTCCAGAACCAGCGCACGAGACAGCTAAGGCAGAGCCGACTGGGGTCTGCCAAATCCAAAGGGGAAGGGCCACCACATGGACAGGAACAGCCTCCAGCTTGGACTCAAGGTTACTCCTCAGCATATAAAACAGGTCCCTTCTTGAGCTTCTCCTTGACAAAGGAACGGCTTTGCATGGGCTTGCCATGTGTTTGGCAAGAAGTCTTAGCAGAGGAACCCATACCCACTGGTTCCAGCCGCCTTTCTGTTCCCAGAGATGGACACTGTGCATGCACCACCTGTTGGGCGGGTGCGTTGTTTCTGGGCAAGAAAGGCTTTGAATCTTCCTGTCCTGAAACTGTAGGAAGGACAGAGTCCTCTTCTGGGGTCACCTCAGAATTTAGATCCAAGCACTGGATTGTGTGGGTGGGTCCATGCTGTCCTCAGTGGACTCAGGGAGGAGAGGCTATAGAGAAAATGGAGAAGCATGAGAGAACACACACACATATGCGTGCACAGGGACACCAATTTCTCTTTCTACACTGGATGTGCCAGTGGCTTCAAAGGTCTCCTTTCTAACTGTATTCTCTTTTTAGAACATTTCACAAAGGAAGGCAGGAGAAAACAGACATCCATTTCTCCATCCCAAGCCAGTATCCTCCTTCAAGCCTTTGAGAAGAACCACTTTCCAAGCATTGCTACCAGGGAGTAACTGGCCAGACTCACAGGTCTTCAGGAATCCCGCATTCAGGTACATTTTCACAGTGTGGCCCGTGAGTTGTTCAACATGGAAGGGATAGTGGTGCCAGAGACGTTGCTGGGGAATCCTGGGCTCCTTTGAGTTATCCACAGGATCCAATGCCCAGGCAATGGGGAGAATGTGTTGAACTTGCAAGTGAGAGACCGTCCAAGGAAGAATTTCCATACCAAATGGTGTGTGTGTTTGTGGGGGGGGGAGTTGGCAGTGTACATGCATAAAGAAATCGTGAGCAGACAAAAGACGGGAAACAGAAACACTGGCACCTATCCAGAGATCACACAAACTCTCAGCTCTTGAGCAGCGTAGTAGCACTCTCCATATGGCCCTCTGGATTTTGTGAGTGTGAGTGGGGTTGCTGTCTTGTGTGTGGCAACGTGTTTGTCAGTGTCCTGGGCCTCAGGACCCCAGGGCAGGAATGGATCCTAACCACAGACCACACCTTGTCTGCATAACCTAATCATCCAGGATAATTGTCCCAAGGATTATTGGCAGGTGGGTGAGAGGTCCCATGTGCCCTGGTTGAAAAAGCTCTGCAGAGAGTGGTTCCTGGTATAGGAATTGTGAACGGCCTTATGGTATATGGAGGCAGACTCCCTGGAAGCCTCTCCTTTGGGACAAGAGCCAGTGACCCTGCTTCAAGTGGGCCTTCATGGGCTAGTACTCTGACAAGTCTTGTCCCTGGACAGAGGGGAAGCTCAACGTGCTCGATCCTGAGAACCCTTCTTCCCATGTAGCAAATGGAGGAGAGGGAAAGCCAAATCCGAATGTGAGTGTTGTTGGTGTGGACTCCTGGCTGCCCATGTCTTCCTCTAGACCCATAAGAGTTGTGCTTGTAGACTTACCGATCATATGGTTGCGAGGCCAGGAGGCATGGGTTGAGGGCCTGCAAGCCAGAGTTTGTGGTTTGCCATTTGGATTATACCCAATCAGACGCCGGGGCGGGGAAAGTTGTTGGGGGATGCCCTGAGGCATTCCGGAGAACTTGGAGTAGCCTGGGGAAGGAGGGGCAGGCAGTCGGCTGTCTTTGCCACAGGGCTCCTGAAATTGCTGGTCAGAAAGCTGCAACTGGCAATCAAAGAGAAAGCAAGGTAGGGACTGAACAGCAGGCAGAGCAGAGCTGAGCGCCTGCCTTTCAAGCCTATCAAAGGGGGATGGACTCCAGGCCAGGTGTCCACAGTTTCCCTGGGTGTTCACCTAGTTTCCAAGGGCCAGGTGAAAGTTATGGACAGAGTTCCCCGGAGATTCAGATCAAGAGTCCTGGCCTTCTCCACAAGAGATCCCAGGTGGGGGTAGGAGGGAAAGAGAGCTGACATCTATCCCTTCTTCTCATGTCCAGGACATCTCTTCTCTATCCCAGGTCTGGTTCCAGAACAGAAGAGCTTGGCACCCAGGGCAGAGCAGAAGTGGCCCCATGAAGGACCTGGAAGCACACCCAAAACCCAGTCCTCGTGTGACAGTCCCAGGGGAACCAGGGCCCCTGGCCGGTGTCTGTGTAAGCTCTCCTCCACTGGCTCTGTCCATTCCTGCCATTCCTCTGGGAAGCATGCATGCCCTTGCTGCAGGGACAAATCCCATTCCCTGCATGGGCTTTGCCCCTCCAGTTTTCTGTGGGGGCCCTGGGAGCCAGGCCCTGGGGGCCACGATGGTCCCGCCCACCCAAGGTGGGCAAGGAGGAAAAACTTTCCTGCTGCTGAAGGCCTGAGGAGCCGTTCCTTGACGGGACCGAATCTGGGAGGGTGTCTCTCTGTTCGACACGCTCTCCTTTTCCCCCCATCCCAAGGGGAATATCAGCAGCAGCATGAGCACCCTGGCACGGTACCCCTGCCCTTCCAAGACTACCCCCATCCTCTAGCTGACAATCCTTGCTAACGCTTTAACGAGGCAGGGCACCCTGGAGCAAAAGCGCTGCCCTGTGCTGGGGCAAGGGGTCCCAGCTTGTCATCGGCACAGGACAGGCTCAGGATGGGGCAGTTCTGCATACTGCACATGCTGAGACCCCTGGCTGGCAGCAGCAGGCACATCCTACTGCAGGGCTGTCTGCTGTGCTCAAACCACAGTACCAACTCTCTGCAGAAGCCTCAAGATTTTTAGAGGAACTTTTCTCACCTGCAGAGATGGAAGAAGACACACACCCTTTCCTCAGTGGGCGTTTCCCACAAGAGGACACTCTGGGACCCCTGGAATCACCCCTCAGCGAGGAGTTTCACGCCCTGCTGGCCATGCTGCATGACTCCACATGGCCTCATGCCTAGGAGCAGGGAGGCCTCATCCTTCCCACCCCACACTCATTCAGATCTTTCCTGAGATGCAGTCCTAGCGGGTCAGCAATGAGGAGGAACAGGCAGCATTGTGCATGTTCCAGAGGAAGACTGACGCCCAAAGCAGCATCCATTGCTTGGAAAGACAGAAGAAAGATGTCCTTTCTGCCTTGTGCGTGGGCCTCCATTGCCTTCCCGATGAGCACCAAGCTCCACAAAGCCTCTGAAGGCAAAATGGGCACCGGGCAATGGGCAACCTCCCCGACATCTGATTGATCCAAAGCACTGTCAGGACACACACGTGACCTCCTCCCTGCCATCACCCTTTCCTCTGTAGACTGGGAAACTCTGGCCATGGCAGCCAAACCAAGCAAGGAGGAGAGGTTGAAGAAGGACACCTCCACGTGTCTTTTTCTCCTGCCCAGACAGAAAGTCCTGTCTCCAGGAGCTAAACGTGTAGACCAAGCCAGGATGCTACACATCCTGACCTTGGGAGCCTAGGGTCACGAATCCATCCTGGCTGGGATAGGCTGGGAACCAGCGAAATAGCAAACGACTGCAGTCTTCCATCTCTCAGTGATCCTGTCCCAGCCAACTTCTGGAATGCCCTGGGGCCTTTGCCTCACATCTTTGCCCCGGAGGAACCTTTCCAAAGAACACAAAGGGCAGCACGAAGGGTCACAGCCACTCTCAGCAGGCATTCCAGAAAGGGTACCACTGTGACTCACTCTTAAACCTTAGCATTTGTTTTCTATTTGTTGGTATGTATTGGCATGTCTCTCTACCCACAGTGTTCCTTCACTTATCAGGAAGAAAGAAGATGTTCCCAGTCAGCCTCTCAGTGGCCTTCTGTCAGCAGGGTCACCTCTCTCCATTGAAAGGGCTAACGTGGAGGAAATCTCTACTGGAATCACAAGCTTGAGGGGAAAATCCATTGGTCCAATAAACCTATTTTTGCCTCCCCAATGTGATCTCTTGGTTGTGATTTATTCCACTTCCCTCCTGTCCTCTCATGCCTGCCAATCGTCAGAGATGTGAGATGCTTCCTGACCCTGGGACCGGCTGTGGAAGGCATTGGTATGCCCAAGTCCAGTTCACAGCTTTGGGCACAGACAACATCATGGGGCAGCACTAACCCTTCCTGGCGGTCATCAAGCTTCACCTGGTTGACGGTGCCTGATGGGCAAGCATTCCTCCAAGGGATGTAGGTTGAACCCAAGTGGCAGACAGTCCATGCACATTGTATTTAACCCCACTGTTCTCAGCAGTGGCCAAATTCATACCTAAGGTTCATCTACTATGCTGGGAATGAATCTACCTCCCTTCCCTGCTCTTTGCCTCCCCCAACTCTCCTTGTCGCTATTTCTTCAGATCTCTGTCTCTCTGTGTCTATCTCTACCACTTTATCTCGATTTCTCTCACAAGTGGTCACACACCGATGCCCACTCTGTCAGAGCATCATGCTTATGCAACTCAGAGTATGGGCACTGAACCTCCAGAAAGGATCATGGGTCAAATCATTTGCAAGAAAATGTGGGCATTGGCACGTTTTTTCCTTGGGGTTTTATTCTGCCCCTACCTACTTGCCACACCCTCAGAGAGGAGAGATTGTGAATTTGGTCATTTGAGACCCACCCCCTCTATGTCCAACACGTCTGTCTTTCAACGGGGAAGGAACCAAAGAATTCCTAACTTGGTAGATTCTATCAAATAGACCTCTATCTCTAACCACATTCACATGTGCACAAATATATCTGTATCTCCATGTCTCCATGGGTCCCGACCCATGGGTGGATCGTGTTTATCTCTCCATAGATATAGCTTGTGCTAGAAGCCCTCCACTTCTCTCTTGCCCTAGTGTGTCATTATTCCACTTCGCTCTATGGACACATCTACCTGTAGCTTCGGTAGACAGAGTGGAAGTGTCTGTCTCTCTCCCTGAACAGAGAGGGTTAGAATGTCTGAAAGGTGCCTGGCCAAAGTGGCCTTGGGACAGACTGGGTTTTCGTTCTGTCTAGAGAAGCCACGTGGAAGGACGGCTCACTTGCAGTGGTCGGAAGACTGCTGTCTGATCTGAGAGTGTCTGGGAGGCCTCTGGAGGGGGATGGCACTTCTGCACATAGGACATGGAGGGAAGAACAGAGCTGCAGCCACATTGGGGTCCAAGGCCAGAGGAGTCTCAAGTCTGGACTTGAGGCTGGAGCCTGTCCTGTCAACAGGTGGCCTGTTTCATCCATATCGGTGAGCTTTCAGTGCCCTGGCATGTGTGCAACACGGAGACACCGCTCTGGGAAATCACCTGCCAGAGAAGGTGCCCACTTGGAAGCTGACAGGAGTCAACCAGCTAGCAGGCTGTTGCTCATGGCCTTGGAGGCCATGATCTGATCTGCAAGGACATCCTCACACAG